TATATATATATATATATATATATATATATATATATATATATATATATTTCTACGTGTGCCTGGAAAGTTGGTTTAAAATAAATTCTGGGTTTTAAAATACAAACAAATCGTTACTTGACGTAGAAAGACAAACGTTTAATCGTAAAAATAAACAATAATTTTACAGGATGATCAAACATGTCTGTTAAAGTGTATACAAGCTAAAAATGTCAGATCGTTTTTGGCAGAACTGGCCTCGTATTTACTTTGTATCGGATCAGAAACAAACTGCAGCCCCACACGCCACTGGCATAATTTTCCTGTTAGATAATTGATTGACAGGTACGACGTGATTGACAGTTGTTGTAAAGTGGCCAAAGTCAGATGGTTATTGAGTCTGTGTAGATGAAATCACAGCATATGTAGCGTTTGGGAGTGAGTGGACGTGTTTGACGTGTGCAGGTGTGTGTGTGTTTACCTGGTGAGTGCACCAGGCGCAGTGAGGACTGAGCTGCAGACACTCATCACAGCTCGCAGCGCTCCGTCCTGAACACGAACCTGAACACAGGAACACCAAACGTTAACGCCGACATGTTTCCTCACTGAGCTGAGATTCAAGCGTTGGCAGAATTATGAACGTTTGAATTGTTGGAATAAAGTTTATTGATTATGAATCAGTCGTGTCACTGTCCTGATAATGACGGCAGAAATCTGTTAATTTCTTTGTTTGCACTTGGCAAACGTTTGAAAGCCTTGAGCTGAACGCCCCTCTTACCCTCCACAGTGCTGATCCAGTACCGGAGAACCAGGCCCAGCAGTAGAAGCCACATTAGTCCGTGAGGTTACTGCGAGAGGAGAAACAGAAGAAGAAATGTTTCAGGTTGTCTCATGGGCTATTTCCAGGAGGGAAACATATCCAGTGCCATGCCTTCTGCAACTGAAAGGAGAGCTGCCGCTCCACAGCACCTGGGGAGGAGGAGGAGGAGGAGGAGGAGGAGGGGGAGCTTTTACCTGCCTGCTGCTTCCGTCCAGGTGAGAACAAGGAGGCGGGAAGAAACACATTTCTGCTCAACACGTCACCTTTTTTTCTCTAGAATGATTTTTTTTATTTTCTGTGACTTTCGGTTATTTTAATACAATGATAGGCAGGCAGACAGACAGGCAGGCAGGCAGACAGACAGACAGGCAGGGAGACCATCAGAGGCAGGGAGACAGGCAGGCAAGCAGGGAAACAGACAGGCAAGCAGGGAAACAGGCAGACAGACAGGCAG